ACACACCTTCATATTAAATATTGCACCTTCTCACGCTGCTGTTTCATCTGTGGGGAAAGAGATGTAGCATTTAATTTGTCTTCATTTCTTCCAGACACAGACAGCTGTGAGCGATGGATGAACTGCAAGAGCGACTTCTTGAAGAAGTACATGACCAAGGTGGCAAACGACCTCCCCAGCTGCCCTTGCTCTTACCCAACAGAGGTGGCGTACAGCACAGCGGACGTCCACGATGCCCCCACGCGCCGAGATTTCCGCTGGAAAGATGCCAGCGGGCCAAAAGAGAAACTGGAGATCTACAAGCCCACGGCCCGCTACTGCATCCGCTCCATGCTGACGTGGAGTCCACCACGCTGCAGCACAGCACTGCTGCTACGACGACGCCATGAAGCTCATCACTCGTGGCAAAGGGGCCGGCACGCCCAACCTTATCAGCACAGAGTTCTCAGCCGACCTGCACTATAAGGTGGACATCCTGCCCTGGATCATCTGCAAAGGAGACTGGAGCCGCTACAACCAGGCCAGGCCGCCAAACAACGGTCAGAAGTGTCCCGACAACCCTCAGGATGAGGACTACTACAAACAGTTTGAAGAAGCGAGGGAATTCTAGCCCGCTGTAGAGTGAAAGGGGGAAAAACACACTGCTTAAATATTCAGCTAAACCTCAAAATTGTGCTGAAATCATTTTTTATTCTGTTTTAGGTCAAATAACACATGGACTTTTAGGCTCTGAGGAACAAGACTTGCTGCTCTTTTGAACCAAGCGGAATAAAATCCAACAGTCAGAACGTTTACTTGCTCACAGGGAACTTTCTTGACTTCACCAAAACCAGGCACAAAACATTGCTTTTTTATGTTTTGTAAAATATGCCTCTGAAAAAATGAATGAAAAAATTTGCCAGTAAAATGTGTCAGCTGAAGGGTGAACTGAGTTTATATGTTGCTAAAAGGGAAAATTATTATTCTAGGAATGTTCGTTTAGATTGTGTCCATGTTCGTCTCCATAGATTGTTTATGTTTGGTGAATCTGAGAGGCCTGTGGTAATAGAATAATAAGATCCTTCAGGAATGTGTTGGGGTCTTTCGGGACAGAGAACAGGGTTATCCAATTTTCTTCCATGTTGCCATTCACAATATCCAGGTTCCCATGTAAGCTTGTGAGTTTATTTAGCATGCACATTTTTTTTTTTTTTTTCACCGTTAATTTACAACTTTTTGTCTCTGAGGCAGATCTTCATTGTAAAAAGCCTGCATTATTTTTGTAAAGTATTTATTAAGTTGTAGCTGTGTCTGAGTTGGGTGTCTACGGCTGTGGTTTTCTGATTCACAAACGGCTGAATGCTGACTTGAGATCCCTCTCTAGCGCACACTTCGCCATCAATGTGCGTAAATGTGTCTCAAGTTAGGATTGAACCGTAACAGAGCGCAAAGAATGTGTGAATTCAACTGTACGGAAAGATTTGTGATATAAATCTATAAATAAATTTTTTTTAAAAGCCAATGAATGTGTTGCTAGAAAAGGGAAAGTCTTTGTTTGTCAGTCTGCATGGCAAATATCTGTTGTGTGAAGTGACAAAATTTCAAGCAAAGTTAGATTTCTCTCCTGCTGTCAGAAAATTCATCTAGCAAACTCCTAGAACAGAAGCACAAGACTTCTATTACTTCCATCCTATGTGGCTCTCATGCCTATTGATGGGACTGTTATATTTCTTCAGTGGGTAAGTTTCCCTTGAATGCGACTGAAATTCTTTGTCTTTGGCATGTATCCTCACATTCCTGAGTAATTTCTCACTGTACTTATGTACTCGCACACATACACACACTCTCAATGCTGCCAGTCCGTAGCAAGGACCTCTGACCATCCCCTCTCCGCTGAGTGCCGCAGTCATTGTCACACAGAGAAAGCCATTCATGGCGCTCTCATTCCTTCAGCCTTGTGTACGGCACAGCTGGCCGGGTGCAGGGCTTGTCTTTATAATGCAGCAGGCCCCAGCACGTTCCACACCCCTGAAGCGCTGCTTGCAACCGCCTAGTTGCTTCACTATTCATACAGAATTCCTCAACACGCGTCCTTCAACCCATTCCTTCCAAACGGAGCCTTTTATCAACAACCCACCCTCAAATACTTGCTGCAAATCACACGGATACATTCTTTTTCATATGTAGACTCTCTTCTCCCTCTGTGCTAGCAGACCCACAGTGGGTAAAGCTCTCCTTTTAAGTCTTCTGCCCCTCTCTTCAGTAAAAGCATGGTTTGGGGCTAAGATTACAGTAACCGGCACGGATCGTTATCTTTGCAGACTGTCTGCTGAACAGGACATGAAGATCAAAGCGAGGTGTTCATCTTTATTTTGAAACATTAGGGCCTGGCTCAAATTGACCCCCCCCCCCATCTCTTCTCCAGACAGGCTCCACGTGTCTCGAAAGCAGGCAATTACTCGTATGCGCTCCTCACTTTTCATCTCCCCTCCCCTACAAGCACAACCTGATCCCCGTTCCAAGGCGCAGGTAGGAATACTGATACAAGGTTTAGTGTAATTGGTGTGAAAATGGATGAGAGGGCAGACGTACTGTAGACCAGACAGTACAGAGAATACTTGTGTTGGCTGTGGGGCGTCACTGAGGCCTTGCTTGGTGTTGCTATTTCCAGGGCTCTACTCTCGTATGTTTGAAAGGATGCAAAGCACCATATTAGTGGTATATTGTCAAGGATCCCAAAGGGCTCATTAAGCATCACCAAGATATGATTGTTGGTATTTTGCCTCTATTTTTGTTATGAGAAAGAAATTATGTCCAACGTATTCTGTTTTAGACCTAGTTTGACAGGGCAGACTCTGGGATTTCTCAGTAGAGCACCACACAAGACCTAACTGTGGGAATAAGAAAACAGTTAAAAAGAAGAAGAAAGCTGTGGAAACTTGGATGGGTTAATGTTGTAATAAATGAAGAGAAAGCTCAGCTGTTCTTCAACTCTTTTCTCCAGAAATCTCGTTCCCATTTAAGCAAGTCCAGGTGGTTTGTTGTCTGTGCTGGAGCTCAGTGTAGGGCTTCTAGTAGGTAAAAAACCGCTCTTTGTTTTGTGGTGTGGCACAGATGTGGCAGAATCATTTTTAGCTTCTCTCCCTCACTTTCTTTTACCCACTCCCTTGCTCTGCTACTTTATGGGTGGTGTAGCACAATGCAGGAAGTGTCTGGGCCACAATACCGCAGAGCCCTAACGGCACGGCAAACCTAATTAAAAGCTTTTTCTTTGGTCTTCTAATCTGGAATAGCTGACCTGGACCAGGAGGTTGCTTATCTAGCCGCTCTATCCCTCCCTCTCAACCTTCACCCTTAATGTCCCTAACCCTACGGACAAAATGGGAGGGACCGCTGGAAGTCTGCCTGCCATAGGCTTGCATCTTTGGCACAGACAATCAGGGGAGGAGTGGTGGTGGGGGAGGAGTGGGGGGCAAACATGTTCCTGGGTGTACAGCTGAACAAACAGGTCAAGTAGCTGTGGAGCATCTGAAAAGGGCAGGGTGCCTTACTTAACCCCTGCTGCCAGGACATCGCTGAGATGCTACAGGGATCTGCAGCCACACAATCTACGGCAGAACAATGACAAAGCACATAACGAAACGCTCTAATTCACTTGGACATATAGTATCACCATGCAATGAACGCCATCTTGTTGAGATGGGCGTCATGGCTTGAGTGGCACCTTCCCCTGGCTCATGTCTTCTATATCAGTTCAAACAAAAGCTAAAATAACATGCACCCGCTCATAAACTCACACACACACTATGCTGTCGGACAAATGAGGACAACAGAGGAAAAAAAAAACCTGCTTTGCCCCCTCATAAAAGAGTTATTATATTCAGTCAGGCTTTTCATTGAGCTAAACTTATGACTAATGTACCACCACATGTTTTAAATGCTCTGCTAGCTTCACATGCTAGTAGAAGTCAGTGGAAATCAGTTTCACTCAGATGCAATTGGTCTTTTCAAGAGGCAGACTTTATTTAGCATCCAGCGGATTATTGCATAGACAAATAATATCCCATTTGAGTCACCACCCACACAGACACAAGATCAATGACTTCATTAGGAGAAATACAGCCAAACGAAGGCACAATGAAACAAGTCACTAAATCAGATACTACTGAAATGCCCAACTGTTTAGCTCAGTCCTCTCATTGTGAACCCGATAAGAGGGGATCCTCACGTGCATCAAGGTGAGTGGCTCTTCTGATTCCTCAGGGACAATTCTGGCTTGGTCTGAAGGACAGCTACATACACAACATCTGGTTTTAACCCTGTGTGTGTGTGAGTGTTGACGTTAGAAACGGGCGCAGAGGGGCTGTAGCAGTGTTTAGGGTGTTGGTGGCCCTTAGGTGCTGAAGGACGGGGGTCAGCATGAGCACGGAAGCTGCACAGCCGTGATTCACTGTGACAACACCGCCTGGCATGTGAGGACAGCAGGCCAGGCGGGCAAAGCTGGTGCCTTTGATCTTTATTTGCTCCACCGTCTGTTTTGCATTTAAGAGCCTTGCTGAGCACAAGGCATTGGATACACCTTGAATGGCTCAGGACCCCGTCCACTCTTTAAAGACCCTGGATCCTTTTTCAAAGCTAAGGGGATCCCGAACAGAGAGGGATGATGTTTGAAGGGGAAGGTTCTGTGCTGAGTGGGGAAGAGGGTCTCCCAGCAACACAGATTAGCTCTGATGAAAAGAGTATGCTGTATAATAACACGCGATCAAGCTAATAGAGAATGGTGTGAGTGTGGGTGAGGGGCAAGGTAACCTACATCTCCTTTTAGATGGACCCTCAGGATCAAACAGGGGTCAGGAGAACTGTGGAACAAAAACAAACCTGCATCGCACCTCCCCAACAACCCTCTGCTGGTCCTTCTGACCTGTCAAATACATTCTGCGCATTAGTGATGTCAAAAGACAGTGACATCTTACACCTGAGAGGCGAACCGGCTGGATATCATCATATGTGATCCTATTCCACAACGAGACATGATGCACTGACAGGCAGGCCTCTCGCTCTTCAAACGGTGAATATATTTATCTTCATGAACATCTCTATTGCACATTCCTCACAGACACTAGAGTGGCCACGATCCAGAGCCAGCAGCTGGACAAACTCTTGCCCTAGAGACTGTTGTTAGACTGCTGATATAAATAACTGCCCTCTCCAATAAGAGCCTTCAAAAGCATATTTAAGAGGAATCAAATCAACACAAAATACTGGAGAATGTAAAATATTGCTTACATAATCCACTCTTTTTCAATGTGACAAAAAAGCTGAAATGTCAAAAAAACTGTGGTGTCTTGGGAAAGAAACATATTGTGTGTGTGTTTGTGTGTTGGGGTGGGTGGATGGAGTGGGGGGGGGGGGGGGGGGAGACACACTGCACACATTTTTAAAAGTCACTGAGGTTCCTCAACAAACACAGACTTCAATATTTCCTCTCTCATGCTAAAATGTTTCAGCATGTTGACAAGTCCTTCTGCAGAATTCTTTTTTATCCCACTCCAGTTACTGCCCAGCATGTAATTTATTCCCAGACTATACATTTTTGGCAGTCCACAGTTCAGATTATATTTATGCTGTGTTTATGTCTGTTTGGGCTTACACAAACTGCTTTCCTAAGAGCAATGCACATCTTTTTTGGAAAAGGCTCAGTTGGAAGAATGTGTCTCATGTCATGGAGTTTAGACTAAAGATAGATGCTGAAATGTAGCAACATAGATTTTATTAACTTTTTGAGCAGTGTAAAGAGCTGTGCACATAGTACCA